AAAGCGTAGAGAAATCAACAGGAAACCACTTTACTTACTATACATCTCGTGAATATTCATAGTATAGTTTCTTTTATGTGCCATGGTTCCTCAGAATGTGGCTTCACCTAGCTCACCACAACTTCCTATCCCTTGCAGCTTTAAGCAACATTTACCTTCTGACTATCCAATTACGTTAAGTAGATTAATCGTTGTTTCCTTATTCCACGCCTGCCTTGATGTTATATGAGTGTCAAATTCTCCAAGTCCTGTTTCCTCATTATGTGCCCTAGATATTTCAATTGTCTCTTTCTCCTTCTATTTTCCTTTAAACATTCGTGGTTCACATGTTCTGTTCAAAGTATTCTGGAGACCTACATCTCTTTTGCCTCGAGTCTCATCTGTGATGAAACTGTTCAGCATTCACTGCCACATAGGAAGACTGAATGCACATTTTGTATCTATTAGAGAAAAGCAAGCTGTGAAGATCCATGAACGTATATGATGTCGTAAGGGACCCCACGAAGACGCCCAACTGTCGTTACTTGTTACTTTCATATTAAGGCAAAAGTTTCCAACATATTTTGGAAACATCGTTTATTTATATAAATTTATAACATCATTGTTCAGTTATTAAAGAATTTTCCTTGTTTTCTAAGTCCTTACACATCCTTTCAAGTATACTGAGTATATACAGGGTTATTTAAAAAGAATGAACTGATTTCATGAAGCATTGCTTCAGTTCGCAAGCACTGTCATGGAATGAGTCAGTGACCATTTGAAAGAGGAGTTTTCTAAGTTTTGAATGGCTGCCACAGGTGCGCTGTAGTCGCATCGTATCTCCGGCAACGTTCAGTTGTTTGTTTACCCTCGGAATGGTGATTCCTCAGCAAAAGGCGTTCTGCGTTCTCGAGTTTGCGAAAACAGATACGGTTGTCACGGTGCAGCGTGCTTTTCGAAAACAATTCGACATCAATCCGTCCACTCCTAAGATCATTAAACGGTGGTTTAAGCAGATTCAAGAGAGTGAGTGTCTGTGTAAAGGAAAAAAGCCCAGGACGTCCACCAGTTTCGGAGTAACAGGTGACGAGAATCCGTGCTGCGTTTGATGGGAGTCCATAAATCAAGCTGGCCGTGAGCTTGCGGTCTCTCAATCCACTATCTGGCGTGTGCTAAGAAGACGTCTACATTTGAAAGTTAACGGACTACGCCTCGTTCAGGCACTTACCAAGACCTTGCTCTTTGTGCTTGGCCTGCGAAATCTCCAGACCTCACCGTGCGTGATTTTTTTCTTGTGTGGACACGTAAAAGATCGCGTTTATTTTCTACTGCTACCCACTAACATCGAATAACAACAGCAATCAACTCAACTGATATGCTGATACGCGTCTGTGAGGAATTCTCTTATCGCATTGACGTTGCCCATGCTGCAGGTGGTGGCCACATTGAACAAATTGTAAGACAAGAAATAAAAGTTGAATAAGGTTAGAATACTTGTGACTTCTATGGATTTTTCTATTGTTTTCCTTATTAAAATATTGCGTAATGAAATCGGTTCATTCTTTTTTAATAACCCCGTATAATAAAAGAACGATTTCGATTTCCCATACATCACTGGTTGAATTCATTGTCCAAACAAAAGTATTTTCTCTTCCAATGCGACATTCAAACAAGCCAGTTGTTCCTTGTAATGCTCGATAAAAGCAGTTTGATCAGATTCCAGTAATTTTTAATAAAGAATTCTCTTTAAACCATACCAAACACCAAAGAAGTTCCCTAACCTGTTCTCATAGTAAAGATACTTCATAGAATATGCAAAGCAAATAAGATTATTGAAGTTGCATGGATATCTGTTAACGAATGGAAATGCACAAAATTTTATTAAATATTTATTCCCGAAGGTAAAGATAATAAGTATGGTTGGGGAAAAGATACACTTTTCGAAAACAACAGTGTCGATTAAAAAGTCTACACTTTTTTTAAAGAAAGAAAAATCCTACTTACAGCCCGGCTAGAGAAGAGCGTTTCCCCATCCGGACCTGTGACCCTACTTAATAGCGGAGTGGAAAAGAAAATATTAAGTTTTAATGGTACCAGTCACCTGCTGCTGCAAATATGTATATCCACTCCAGCCAATCATCTCTGTTGCTGTTATTGTGACATAAACTGAATACGTCATAAAGGTGTCCTTTTTCTGTGTAGGTTATTTATCAAAATAAACTTTTCATTTGTGTATTTTTGTTGTTAATCGTTTCGTTGCTGGGTCTTTCTGTATATTTGTTTGTAGACTGGTGATCCAGCGCACTCAGAAGTTATAAAGATTTGCTTAAAAAAAGATATTATTAGATAAAGAGTATGTCAGTCTATTTGTTGGTGTTTTTTCTTTCTCTTTTTCTTTTCATTTTTCTTATTTTTTTTTTTAATGTACACCAAGCGAAGAATACTGTTTTTGAGTTGGACAATCAATTTTTTTCCTTGTTTTATAAGATATGATTACAAACATTTTCTCTTTGAAGGATGTAACATGAATTTGTTCCTTGTTGTGAACTGAACAGTATCATGGATGAACATGTGGATCATTTAATAGAAAGACTGAAGAACAAAATTAAAATAGAGAGATATTCTCTTCTTGCTTTCTTTTTCATGCTTCTTTGCATGGATGAAAACTCATGAATTGAGTTTTCTATATTTTGTTAATTTACATATCGAGTATCTGTGTTTGTATATGTGTGTGTAAAAAGAGACAATAAGTGTCGCTTTAGGCGAAAACAAGAAGTCATTGTGCGTGAGAGAAAGAGAGATGGGAAAAAGAGAGAGAGGCGACGAGAAGAGAGAGAATGTGTGTGTATTAAATAAATGGGTTTAATATGTCATGACAGAATCCAATGTTCAATTTTTGACACGGACAGTGGATATTTGTGGACAGTAATGGAACACTCAGTGAGAGACAAATTCATTACCCAAGGAAATTGGTCTGCAAGACAAGTTTTTTTTGTTTGATCACACTAAACTAGATGTTCCCGGTGAATGTGCGTAGATAGATTAAATAACTATTATAAACAATATGTCAACATAGAATATTTATTTATACCCCTATGTACGTCGCTATCTTCATGCCTGCGTAAATGCATATCTGTGAGGTTAGTGAATATAAACATAGGGGATTATCATTTGCAAAAGATGTAGCATTGCTTGTTGAAAAATTATCAATGCTTAATAATACAGTGTAACCCGGATATAAGAGAAACCCGGATATAAGAGTGTTGAAGCTTAAATAAGCATGGAATAATACAACACAAAATGTACGTTAACAAAATGTATTGAAACAAAGAATAGGTACACAATATTTACAGTTAGTTTGGTATATTCTTGGGAAGACTGTTCCTGCATAATGGGTTGACTAAATCGCAGTCGGGCAGAGTCTCAGGATTCAATTTCTTAATCTCTACTATCTTCCCCGTCTTCCGGTACCAACCCATATTTATATGGTCGGTAGTCCGCTTATGTAAATTAGGTGTATCATACACAACAAAGAGAAACCCGGATATAAGAGAAACCCGGATATAAGAGAGATTTTCTCTGGTCCCAAATTAGAGCCTGTGTTAATGTATATAAAATAGACCAAACCCGGATATAAGAGAGATTTTCTCTGGTCCCAAATTAGAGCCTGTGTTAATTTATATAAAATAGACCAAACCCGGATATAAGAGAAACCCGGATATAAGAGACTTCATCTCCGGTCCCGACAACTCTCTTACATCCGGGTAACACTGTACCAGTTTTTTTGTTAACCTGGCATTTCTTCTATTGACCAGTGACGTCATTTAAATACTTAAATATTTAAATATTTAAACTCTTAAAATACTTAAAACTTATTCAAGAAAAACACTTTTTTAAGCAAATGACCTCAAGCAGGTGGGAGTGCATACAAGAGGTTACAGTGAGTGTGAGTAAAAGTAAAGAGGAGTATTTGTGTAAAGGATAAAGAGAAGGACAGGAATCAAGGTCAAGTTTGTTTTGGTTTGGTTTGTTTTGGTTTGGTTTGGTTTGGTTTGGTTTACGGCATATCAACCTCGATGGGTTATTTAATGCCGAAAAAATTTTTAATGCTGGTAATTTTTTTCCCAGAAATGTATTGCTGGTAATATTATTTTTTTTTACAATGTATTTATTGTACTAAAACCTATATTTATATTTTCATAGTGTTTTGACCCCAGTTTGCGGGTTAACCACTTGCACATAATCGTGACCCCAACAGGTGCCACTACCCCGTGTCAGGTCGGACCCGGGAATACCAGCAACCAAGAGGAGGTTCCACACACCTCAAAGCCTCCCGACCAGAGACACCCGCCGCTGGACGTAGTTTATCGTCATACCCAGGACGAGGATCAAGTTCAAAGCATCAGAAGATGTCGATTGACGTTACATTTGAATATTTGAAGATTATAGCTATCAGGGTTTGTTTGTTGTTCTTCATAATTACCCCGGCTATTTTGCTTAGGCACAAAAATAAGCAACCAGTTAAAAATATAGCAATGAGGATAACCATTTTATTTTATTTTTGCTCAAAGCTCGGCCAATCTACCTCTGTCATGCTCGAATGGTTTGATAGTGTTTTGCTAACAATTGGCTGCTTGAGAACGTCTTTCACCGAATCCGATTGGTCATCTTGGAGTTCAATTTGAATGTTTACAAGACAGACATAAACCATGAAAATTAACGATATTAAATCACGGAGTACAAAAATAGGTTACAGTGAATCGTGGGTAACGGTAAAGATGTCAGCTAGCTGGATTCATTGATTTGTTTTTTTTATCAAACTTTTTTCAAGCCAGGTTACAAGAATCTTTTTGAGATTATAACAATTTACTGATAAAATTATCACTATTCACTATTTGACACATAGCTAGCGGAAGAAGTGGATTAATTCCTTTGCTAATGGTATTTGCATATAAGTAACTATAACGAACCCGACTGGAATTGGAACACGGTTGTCCATTTTCAAACCCAAGCATCCCACCTTGCAGGACTTGATATTCCCAAGCGGTCACCCATATAGTTACTAGCCAGGCTCAACGTTGCTTAACTTCGATGATCGGATGAGAACTAGTGCTTCAACGTGATAGGGATGTAAGCTTTCAGACAGTTGGAGACATTATCTAAAAATCATACAAGATCGAAGCTTTATTTGAGATTTCAACAAACAAAACACACACCTTAAGATCAGTCTTTTTGGACGTCGACTTAGGCATTTCGGTCACGAAAGGATAATTAAATGCAACAGAAATCAATAATCATTCTGCTAAACGTTCCTCTTCGCTTTTCTATAACGTCTATGTTTTTCTACCTTTATTTATTCGGTCGAGTTAGCTCGGACATTGATGAGTCTATCACGCCAACCATCACGGTTGTGTATCAAGCTAGGAACGTCATTAAGGTTTCTACTTGCTGTCGACTTTGGCATTTCGATCACGGAAGGATAATTAAACGCAGCACAAATCTATAATAATTCTACTAAACGTTCCTCTTTGATTTTCTTTGTTTTTATACATTTATTTATTTGGTCGAGTTAGCTCGGACATTAATGAGTCTATCACGCCAACCATCACTTTCCTGCATGAAGCTCAGAAGGTCATTAGGGAGGCATTCTGTGTCATAAAATAGTTGGTGAATATCTGTGGTTGCTGGGTCACCAACTCGTCTTATTCCCTGGCTAGGTGTCCAGAGCAGTAGATCACTTGCGTGTTCTTGTTTTGCTCGCCAACAATATCCTACAAAGCGCATTCTGTGTTTGCGCAAGATTGTATAAATATCAGGGATGGGTCCATATTGCTGTGATTTGATAGGATGTTGCCTCTAAATGTTTAATTTAACTCTCAGTATACCAGTGTAGGTTCCATCAAGCTTAGACTGTAGGATTTTACGTAATGTCCTTTAAATAGATTCTATTATTATTATTATTATTATTATTATCCGTGTTCTAAAATTACACATCAGGAAAATTTCGTTGGAAACAAATAAACACATGGCAGACAATCTCAGAAGAGATTAAGAAGAAACTTGAGGCAACAGAAATGTGGTTCTACAGAAGGATGCTGAGAATATCATGAATTGAACATATGAGCAACAACAAGGAAAATGGAAAGAAAAGAATACTTAAACTTAACATCAGAAAGACACAGTTGAAATTTCTAGGGCACATAATGAGGAAAGTGGCCTTGGAAAATTTGACACTCACAGTATATATTGAAGACAAGAGGATCCGAGGAAAACGGCGTATAACCTAACGATTTTCTATAACGTCTTTGTTTTTCCTTATATAAAAATAGAAAGGATAGCTTAGAAAATTTGACACTCACAGGATATATTGAAGACAAGAGGATCAGAGGAAAACAACGTATAACCTAACAACCAACCTTGTGTAAATGGTTGGCAGAAAAGGATTTAGGATAAGAAAAAGTAATAAATTTATTAAGATTACAACGGACAAAAAATTATGGAGAACCATTAGCACCACCGTAGAAAATGTGCTTTATGCTTCTAATCTCGCCATTTTTTTTACACTGTTTTTATTTTCTTTTTGAAATAATTGATAAAATGGGAAAAACCAAGCATAAAAAGCTTCTTGGGTAAGATGTCTTTCATATCACGATTTTTGTAACCAATGTTATCATAGCGACATTATCGCGCTATTTGGTATTTAAGGGTTAATCCCAAGATTAACTAGGGTGGCATGCAGTCAACATGAAAACGTCAAACACACACAAATGCACAATTTCATCATTCAGTTCAAGTGTATGAGTAAACGCGTGGCCAAGTGGTTAGAACGTTATAATTACCACCATGAGACCCAAGTTCGAATCTCATCTGGGTTGATTTACATGGAGGTTACTTCTTGATATATATATAGACATGGGAGAGACAATACTACTTTGGAAAGTACTTGAAGACCATACTACGGATTGATCCAAGTCTTGTGAGTGAAATTGGGCAGACGTATCTGTCGGGAAGATGTCAGTTGTTGCGCTATTATGAAGTCACAAGTCATTGTGACTGATGGTCTGAACGTACTGGTCTTGTCAACTACTGCGCTAACACCCAAAAACGGTAATTAAGGATCATTCAGAATACTTACAGTATAAACTAGAGGTTTACTCTGTGAGTGCTGAAGAAATATAAATGTGTCTGAACTAACGTCTGTAACAGGGATTAGCAAGAATACTAGGATACTTTGAATCGAACGGACGAGCATACTCGGAAACGAGTAGCTATTATTATTATTATTATGATTTCCTTTAATTTTTGGTTCATACCCGTTTCCTTCCAACCAGAGACTTAAGGTCAGAGATGGCTTCATGACATTTTTCACTGATAGCAAAAAAAAAAAAAAAAAGTTCACAAACATTTTAAATAGATAAAGCTCTTCGTAATATGTGAGCTGTACTTGTGAGTACAATTTTTTTTCTACTTCTTGAAGGCATGGGCGACCAGGAATCCCTTCAGTGAGTCTATCGGAAACTTTTCCAATCAATCCGAAAGCTCCAACTGCAAGTGGAATTATTAATATCCTCCCGTGCCACATTCTTGAGATTTCCAATTCAAGATCCTTGCATTTTGATATATTTTTGAAGATCTTCAAAGATACATTATAATCTGCAGGAACTACCATGTCAATAAGAGAGCATATCCTGTCTTTGCGGTCTTTGATCACGATGTCTGGGCGATTACCTTTGATTGTTCTGTCTATGTGTATTTTAAAGTCCCATAAAATTCTTACAGGCCCTATCTCTGTAACCGGGTCTAGGTAATGTTCATACCAGTTTCTTGCAGTTTCCTTACGATAAAAGTTGCATATTTTCCAGTGCAGATATTGGCCAACTCTATTATTATTATTATTATTATTACTACTACTATACACAAGAACCCTCGTGCTGAAATTAAGTTTAGTTCTGTCCTCAGACCGGAGGAACTAAATAGATAATGGGAGCGATGGGTAAATTGTCGCCATTTTATATTTTTAATTTCGCGCATGCGCGTTGTTTGTTTTTGATTTTTTTGACTGCAACTGCACAGTATAGTCGGCTCAGTTGTGCACCGTCTGCGAGAAAAAGAGCACCATGACGCAAGTAACTCTGCCAGAAGTTTGGAAACGGTACGCTGTACTGCTTGGCTTCACACCAGAAGCTCAAATACGAACATTTCTGTGTGTTTGGGTGTCAATCTGAGGACAGTGGAGAGGATTCGAAAAGAGTTGGATGAGTCTAATGGTGATTACGAAGGTACGGCAGCTCAAAAAACTCATTGATCGTTCTAATAAGAAAACTCCCGAATTTGTGAGTGAGGGCCTCAGACTCAACACGGAGGCCTACATCAAGTTCCTTGAGGAGGCAATGCTTCCCAGAGTAGAGAGGATGGCTGCTGGAAGACCCTATATCTGGCAACAGGACTCTACCTCATGGCACACAAGCAGGAGAATCCAGTCATGGATGTCAAACAATTTCTGCGACCACATCACCCCTTCCATCTGGTCATCTAACTCCCCAGATTGCACCCTCTTAATTATTATGTGTGGGACCCAGCTGAACGAAAGATCAAGAAAACTCCTTGTAACGCCAAAGATGCACTGAAGTCAAGGATACTGGCAAACAAATCAACGGGTGTTTACTCTTGAATTTCTGAGTGTTGCTATTATGCAATAATTCTTTTGAAACAGTTTCTTGATCTTTATTGTCATTATTGTAGAATGCCAACCGCAGTGTCCCCGGGCCTCTTCATACTATTACTAGTATACAACGATTCTTTAGAAACAGTTTCCATGTCTGTTGTCTTAGCGTCCCGAACGTGATACCCTCTTTCCTGCATTGGTGACTAAGACATTAGAATGATGACAACAAAGACGAAAAGAAAAAACTAGTTCAAAAGTATCGTTGCATAAGTGTAACAACAAGAGGAAGGCTACAGGATACAGTAGTCTGAATGATGTGATAAACATAACAAAGATGCGAAAACTCCTCTGAAAGAATTACAGAAATATCATTTCAGGGCATAGTAGACCTCCGTCAGTCAAGGTTGACTGTAGGTAGCATCCTAGTTGTATGCTTGGCTGGAACTTCGACATCTGTGATTGTAGAGGCCGATGCAGGAGTGATAATCTCTGGTGCAGAGGTCGCATGTGTGTTCTGTTTCTGGTCTGTTGGAGCTGTCACTTTGCTTTCTGCGGACCCTCCTTTCCGTGGCGACTTGTGTCAGACTCTCCTCTCCTGACTTGGATTCGACTGGAATTCGAACTCGGCTCTCCGATTCCTCAACCCGAGCCGCTATATTAATTAAGGCTTTCAGATTAAGAGATCGCGTTGTATGAGCATAATTGTTTTGGCTTCCGTAGGTAAATCAATTTACGATGAATTTGCATGGCAAACTGCCCTCTCCTATTAACTTTCATAATTTTTTTTTTTTAGATAACGTACGAAGTTCTAGATATAATGCCAACAAAAAGGACGCTTATACTTAATATCAAGAAGAAACAGTTGAAATTTCTGGGGCACATAATGAGGAAAGAGAGCTTGGAAAATCTGATACACACGGTTACAGATTGATGGTAAAACAGAAAGAGAAAACCAACGCAGAACAATCCTTGAAAAGGCCTGGCACATAGAAGAAAATATTCTCGAGTATAGTACGAGTTTTTATGATTATTTTTTTATGCTAAAAATATGTGTTCGCACTATACACAGGTTATTTTTTGGAAGAGGTTAAAAACCATGTATTTTCGGTGATCGGTTTTATTATACACAGGAAAATTTTTCTTGACACAAGACCACAAGCATGGTGTACCTAATGAGGATCAGCCTTACTAATAATGATCTACACATCCAACTTATTAACCATTACAACATGACATTTTATAAAAACTCTTTAAAGGCCGCCGAAGACAGCCCTTAAGCTCAATGTTGATTCACTTCCTATTTGCATGTAGCATGTGATTTACGACAGGAAATACCAAATGTCAATAAGGAACATGTTACGCAAAAATATTCAGTGGTTGGACTATACATTAAGTCGGCTTATACACGAGTTTATACGATATTCGTGCTTTGAGTTGATTAATCTATAATAATATGAAAAA